TTTTTTTGTCGTGTCGTGTTTTCCCCCGCTTCTTCTTTGGCTCATCTTGTTGTGCTGGTAGATACGATTTCCGATAGACAAGATTCCCATCCGTCATTTGCTCAGAGCATGCTTCACTTGCTCAATGATCTGACGACGATAATAATACACGTGATCATCACAATGCTCCATATCTGCAAGTTCCTTTGGCTCAAGGGATCAAACATGCGCAACCGTCTATATCAAACGATCCATATTTATACATAGGTGGGTATATAACACCCAGATGGCCTGGATTCAAACCATGGATTCATAACCCAAACGCCAACAGTGCCCGTGGTGCCGCATATAATACATGTGAGGAGCCTCGGTGCAAATTATCATAAAAGCTAGGTGCGCATGTGGTGCACGCCAGCGCGCGTGAATTAGCTACAAAACAAAACAAAACCCGGTATGTCGCATTATCAAGCGTCGTAGACACCGTCCGAATACCTATAGCCGGCCGGGTACTGCCGCGCCGGGGCACGGTTGTCTTCGGACAGCCTCGGCCGGCTGTACGAGCCAGGATACGGCCCGGGAGCGCCCGTGTCGTACGGGTTGGTGCTGGCCTGTCGGCCGCCGGCGCTGTACGGGCTGGCGCTGGCATGGCCGGCGCCGTCGTAAGGATTGGTGGTGCCGGCATACCGGCCGCTGACGTCATAGGGGTTGCTGCTGGCATTGCCGATGTCCTCGTAGGGGCTGTTGGCGGTGCTGGTGGTGTGGTTGTGCGGCCGCACCGAGCTGGCCGTGTTCATGGGCAGCGCGTCGTCGCCCGTCGTCACCTCTCCGTACCTGTTGGGGTAGAACGGGACCGGGGCGGGATCTCGGCTGGGGTTGTGGTGCGAGGCGTGGACGGGTGACGGCTCGGTGACGGCGGTCTGCTCGGTGGCGTAGCTCTCGCGGCCGGCGGGCTCGCGCATGTCGGCGGGCGTGGCGTGCTTCGGCAGCATGTTGGAGCCCGTGGTCTTGGTGGTGCCGGAGCGCCTGAGGAAGCCCAGGATGCCGCCCTTGCTGCCGTAGCCCGACGTGTACCCATTATCCGGAGACGGTCCGATCCTGTTCTCCTTGTGGTGGTGGCGGCCCAGCGCGACCTCGGTGATGGCGGAGAAGACGAAGAATACAAGGGCGACAACAGCGATGGCGAGGCATGCGCTCTGGAGCTTGCAGGCCGTGCGGTAGTTGGGGATGCCGTCGGCGCGGCTGCTGTTGGCGTCGCCGTCACCAAACGGGGTGGAGAGGGCTCCGTCACACGAGCCGGCGCCGCCCTTGTTGGACACGGCGACGAAGATGAAGGCGGCGGCGAAGGCGACGTCGAGAAGGATGGCGAGAAAGGAGGTAAACTTGCGGCCGGCTATCCAGCAAAGCAAAAGCAGGCCGACGCCCGAGTACAAGCAGGCGGAGCCGGTAATGCCCACAACGGCGCGAATCCAGTCGGGAACCTCGATATTGCGGCCGTTGAGGGTACCGAGGAAGTAACAGTAGATGCCGAAGATGATGGTGGCCGATAGGAACTGCACGCCTCTGAGGAACCATTGCAGCCCCTTGAGGGCGATGCCGGTTCTGGCGCCCATAGTTTATCGGGCTGTGGATATTCTATATCGGAGGATAGCCTATATCGGAGGTGGCTCGGATGAGATGGCAACCTTCACGTAAAGCAATCGAGGGGTTGATACTGTGTGGTGTTGTTGTGCGGACAGCCAAACATAAAAGCGACTGGTTCACACAGCCCGAGCGAGCCGGGCCTGTACCTGCTTAAGTAGGTCGGCGCTACAAAAGAACAAACACAAACTCTCGGCGGGGTTGGTGCATCGGCGTCCATCATCAAGCTCGCGGGAGCGTCCGCCATTCGTGCTTTGGGTGCGGGCTGTGCTGTCTTGGTCCACCTTGCCGCTTTGTCGCCGCAGCAAGCTGGGCTTGGTCCACGGAAAACAGGACATGTCCCAGCACTCTCAGTCCCACGAGCCAGGATTATAAAGAGCGTGGCTCGTCGATCGGCCTTTATCTAGAGCACCGGTGACGAATGGATCCCTGGAGAGGACCAAGGGGAGAAACACTCCGGGCCTTCAAACCGGGCTGGATGACGAATGCCCAACCACACTGGACGGAAGAGCTGACATCACCACATCGCTTGGCAGGGAATGGGACGTTTGTTCCCACCAGGTTCCCCACTCGAGCCACATCTGAATGCCGCCCGGGCGACTCAGCCACTGGGCTTTTGGTCGGAGGGGCCATGTGATCACGTGTCAGGTTTCTCCTGGTCAATGCAGTGGCTGACGAGTGTGTGTGTTGTTGTGGCTGAGTACTGCGATGGTTTCGGTTGCCTCCAGCTCCCACGGTTCAGGGCAACAGTCTCCCGATCCTTCATGTTGCTGTCAGTCGAGTGTTGGGTGCCACTGGTACCACTGGTGTCACACCCGCACGCCCTCCATCGCCATCGACGCCTCGTCTAAATACCACCTCGGCACACCCGGGCAATTGCCATGGGTTGATTGCTGGTAGAAGTGTTCTGTCGCACCGTCGGCAAACCTGGCGATTCTCGTCTTCGGCTGGCTGCATCGGCCGTTGGACCCCACACTGGCTGGCGGGTGCCCGCACTGCCACGGTGCCCTCGCGGGCGGAACCCACTGGACCCTTGGCCAAGACACACGTCCGCTTTCCCCCACAATTGATAATTGCGGATTCGCTTCAGGTTGCCGTTGATGATCATGTCCGCCTGCACAATGGACCTTGTCTTTATCTGCCTTTTGCCTGTCTCGACCCTTTCTCCGGTAATCCCAAGAAGGATTTGGGGCTTTGGGGCGGCCGGGGCCAAGCCTGCAAAGCAATGGCGCCGCATAACAGTCCAATACGAGGACGCAGCCGTGTGCGGTCAGCCGGATAATCGGCTTCTTTTCAAGTGTCGACTCTCCCTCAACATCCTGCCGAGCCTGGACAGATGACTGAGGCTGGCGCCCAGTCTGCCTGGAGCCTCGGCGACAGCCTTTCCGCACTCCTGATGGTGGTGGCGCCTCGGACTATCGTTCAGGGCGGCGAAGCAAGAGCCCGTTTGGGGCTAGCCAGGCGGCCAGAAGGTCTAACCCCCACCGCTAATCAGGAGCCCAAACTACAGCGTCAACGCTTTGTTGTGCAATTTAACTTGGGCTGAGAGGCGTCAGTGCATCGGCACACAGCAACCGGCCATCTCTGCTGTTGACTGAATATTGGCATCGATAGCAGCAATCCCAAGAGGCAAAAAATCCGTTGCCAAGATGTTGTCCACGTCTGGTCTGTGCATGCCAACAGCCATCGGCAGCGGGGAATCTTTGCTTTCTCTCTCCGGATCTCACCCCAAGCCTCGAGATCCCCTCTCGTTGGCTGCAGTGCCATGTGCGGCTGGAAATAGCTGCCCGCATCAGCCAATCTGGCACCGTGGCGAGCCCTTGGCACCCTCCCCCCACACGCCTTGCCAGGTCAGATTTTCAATACGAAAAGGACAAGAAAGGGCTGGCCAGGCTGGCTGACCACAATCGGCCTGCCGCCTCCACCTCAGCTGCGGCCTAGCTCCATTGCGGACACGACCCCTGGCCCCATCGCGGTGCGGCTAGACCCCTGGCCGATATGCCCTCGACCCCCCTTTCCCGCCCAGGAGCAGCCATTAGGATGCAGCTAATTAAAAAGAGTGACACCACCCTTCCACATCGTGATGGCGTCTGCCGGCCTTTCTTTTTCTTTCTTCTTTCCTCCCTGTCCCACCACACTGGTGGCCACGCATTCTCGCCCTTGTGTCTTCTGACCTGCCCCGGGCTCCCCCGCCATTGTTCGCATCCCTCGTTTGTCGAACCTGGCTCTTCACTCGTTATGTTTTGTCTGTTACCGTGACTTGACCGCACGCTATAATCCCACATACTGTTAATCCTTTAATACCTCCTGGTCTTTGTTGACTACGCGAGAGGAAGCCCTGTTCCATCACGATGAAGCCGGCAACTTATTTGGCGGCGCTGATGTCGCTCACGGCGACTGTCGGCGCCGATCCCACCTGGCCCCATGTGAACGACAACCTCGAAGAGATCATGTTCCAGACTCAGGGGTTCAGGGCCAGACTGTTCACCGATAACATCCGACGGTGCGCAAACGAGGCCTCAGGTCCGGGACGCAAGAATGCCGCCGAGTGGCTGCGCACCGGATTCCACGACATCGCAACCGCGAACCGCTACTTCGGCACTGGTGGCATGGACGCGTCGCTGCAGTACGAGCTAAACAGCGGCGAGAATGCCGGTCCCGCGTTCGCCTCGACGTTCAAGTTCTTGGGCGGCTTCCTGTCCCCTAGGAGCAGCCTTGCGGATCTTGTTGCCCTAGGGGTCTATGCCTCGGTGCGCTCATGTGGCGGTCAGGCCATCCCCGTCAAGGCCGGGAGGAAGGATGCCACCGAGGGCGGTGCGCTTGGTGTTCCGCAGACACAGAACCCGACCCCGACATTCGTCACCCAGTTTGATCGCATGGGCTTCAACCAGGCCGAGATGATCCAGCTGGTTGCCTGCGGCCACACCCTCGGAAGCGTCCACACCGAAGAGTTTCCAGACATCGTTCCTCCTGGCACGGGAGTAAACGGCGCCGTCAGCTTGGACTCTACTGACGCCCAGTTCGACAACAAGGTCGTGACCGAGTATCTCGATGGCACCACGCAGAACCCTCTGGTCGTGGGGCCCTCGGTGCAGTTGAAGAAGAACGCCGACGGCCGCGTCTTCGGGGCGGACGGGAACGTGACTATGAACGCTCTCAGGGACGCTGCCGTGTTCCAGACCACATGCAGGAACATTCTGCAGCGCATGATTGAGGTTGTGCCCAGCGGTGTCACGCTCACGGATCCCATCGTCCCCTACACCATCAAGCCCGTCGACATGCAGCTCACCCTGGACGCCACGGGTTCCACGCTGGCGTGGTCTGGATGGATCCGCGTCAGGACCACCACGATCCCGCTGGCAACGATCCGCAACGTCGTGCTAAACTACAAGGACCGCAACGGCGGCAACAACTGCGGATCCTGCGCCACCACCCTGACTGTGCAGGGCACTGGCTCTGGCCTCGACGACACTTGGGCCTTCTTCCCCGTCTCTGCCTCGCTGAGCACGAACGCTGGCATCTCATCCTTTACCGTCACCGTCAACAAGGTCGACGGCACCTCGACCTCCTTCGACAACAACGGGGCCTCGTACCCCCTGTCGGATGCCGTCATGATCCAGAGGCCCCAGAGCTGCCTGCTCCAGGGTACCGGAGCCCTCACCGTCTCTGCCCTAGTCCGGAACGACCGGGCGGATCTTCCCGTCAACCTGGGCGTGAGCTACCTGACCGACCAGACCAATAGTCCCGCCCCGAAGCTGAACACGGACTCGGCTACGATGACCAAGGGCAACTGCGTTGGAGGCTACACCTTCTTCTCGGCCTCTTACACCATCGCCGGAGGCAGGAGCTATGCCGCCAGGCTTGACATCAACAGCGGCAGTGGTGCTGATGTTGTCAGTGATGCTTTCAACCTTGGAGCGGATCTCGGCGGCACCTGCCAGCCCTTCACAGGAAGCCAGACATGCGCCAGCGTGACGGTGTCGAGTGTTATTCCCTCCTCGACCTCCACATCGACCACTGCCAGCAGCACCACTACATCGACGACTCCGACTGCGACCCTCGCCCACAGACAGACCATCAGCGGGTACAATCTAGTATCGTGCTGGACCGAAGGAAGTGGCGTCCGTGCTCTCTCGGGCGCGTCGTTTGCCTATGACGGCATGACCCTGGAGTCGTGCATCAAGAACTGCACCGGGTTTGCCTACGCCGGCGCCGAGTACGGGCGCGAGTGCTACTGCGGCAATACCCTGGCCGAGTCTAGCGCGGCCGCTGACATGGCCGATTGCAACATGCCCTGCTCCGGTAATCCCTACCAGTACTGCGGAGCGGGCAGCCGCCTGGAGCTGTACAGGAATGCCTCGCTACCCGCTCCCAGCAGCACCAGCAGAACCTCGACTGCCTCGGGCACCACTACCTTGACGAGCTCGTCTACAGCCCCCACGGGCACCCTTGGGCGCGTCGATGCTGTAGGAAAGTTTTCGTACCGGGGCTGCTACACCGAAGGAACCGGTGTCAGGGCATTGGCCGACAAGACATATGCCGATGACGCCATGACCTTGGAGTCGTGTGCCGCCTCCTGCAGCGCCTACAACTTTTTCGGAACCGAGTATGGTCGGGAATGTAAGTTACAAGACCCTGATCCGTGATTTGCGCGTTGGCTCCCCTTCATCCCGTCTCGTCTTGATACCAGTCGCTGACATGCTATGTAAAACCGCAGGCTACTGCGGAAATTCCCTCGCTTCGTCGAGTACCAAGGTGTCTGTGGGCGACTGCAGCTTCACCTGCGCTGGCAACCGGTTCCAATACTGCGGCGCCGGCAACCGTCTCGACGTTTTCGGTGTCGGCAGCTCCGGCGCGGCGTCGTCTTCGACCTCGTCAGCCTCGGGCCAAGCCTCGACATCCTCTACCACCAGGACGACATCGTCGATGGCCACCGCCACCGTCACAACATCCCGCCCCTCGGCCACGGGTCCGTCGCACCCCGCCACCATCGCCTCCGGAGGAACCAACTGGAGCTTCTCGGGGTGCCAGACCGAGGCCACGGGCGCGCGCGCCCTGAGCGCCAAGGTCTCGTACAGCGACACCATGACGCTTGACATGTGCGCGTCAAGCTGCAGTAGCTACGCCTACTTTGGTGTCGAGTACGGCCGCGAGTGCTACTGCGGTGACAGCTTCGCCGCCGGCTCCGTCGCTGCCAGCGAGGCCGACTGCAACTTCCGCTGCCCCGGCAACGCGGATCAGTACTGCGGCGCTGGCAACAGGTTGAGCACGTACCACAAGGGAACTGCCCGGAGGTAAAAAAAAAAAGAGGGCTTTGTCTTTTTCTCAACGTTCAGTGTTGGCTAAAGCGAATATCAAGGCTTTAGGGTTTCTGATTGGATAGCGAGCGAGATAAATCACGATAATTTTCACACCCCTGTATGAGTTTCTGATGTTGATGTATGAGAAGTCATGTCAGTCGAGTGCCAGTCGATCCGTCCAGGCACCCCTTGGCTGTGGTGTCACCCTTGCCCAACCACGGTGGGGACAGACAGTTGGAAATCGAAAAAAAAAAATTAGTCTTTCGTTTCATGTTGAAGACGGGTCGAGGGCGATGTTTGTGTCAGCCTCGCCGATTCGAGGAAAGCAGCCTTTTTGAGGAACCCCGGGGGACCTTCTTCCAAGGAAACACGACGGCACATGAAAAAAAGCAACAGACGAGACCAGACGGTTGGAAGCAAAAGAGAGTTCGCCTGGTCCCTTAGAAAAACGAGATTCAGGGGTAAACTGACTGGTGCCACGAGGCGAGCGGGTAAGAAGGAGGCAGGAGGTGAAAAAAAGATAATAAAAAAAAATGAACGGTAAACGAGCCACGACACGCGCGCACCAACCCCGAGCCGTCGCCTGTAACCCAACTGCCATATTGGCCCCGTGATGCGTGCGAGACGGTGTGAGAATATACGCCCACCCACGTGAGCCCCAACGGCCAAGGTACCTTGACCATCTCTGGACATTTGGCCATTTGCTGCCAATCGTAAGGAGTTTCCCGCATTGCCGCATCCGCCTTAGGACCGATATATCCTCGGAACAATCAATAGGAACTCTTCCTCCGGGGGGTGGGCTTTTGCCCCTCTCCTCCTCCTCCTCCTCCTCCCCCCGCCGCGCTCCGCCCTTTGGCCTCCTCCGGCTCCACCGCCCGCCCGCCCGCCGTCTAGTGCTCCGCGCCCGTGCTTGGTGTTATCAGAGAAAGAGACAGGAGCGACGGCGGACTGCAAGGAACGGTGTAGCAGCAGGGGGCCGCGCCAAGATTGGCGGTGGTTCTAGCTAGGATGGGTAGCTCCGAACGGTCCTGCGAGCCACCGCGGACCGGATGCAAAAAAAAACCGAACCAAAAAAACTGAACCAAAAAAAAAAAAAAAGGTGCAAAAGACGGTGAGTGATGCGTGTGTTACGACTCTCTTTGGGGTTGCTAGTCTTACAGCCTTTTTTGGGCACATCAGCTGACAAAGCTGAAACCCGGTCCGGTCCTGCGCTTGGAGTGGCTGTGGAATTCTTCCTCGATCCTTCCTTTTCTGGGCACGGCTCGTTCGTCTCGTCTCTGGTCGTCTTCTGACTTGAAAAAGAAATTGCAGGTGCATATTTTCTTTCTCGTCTTGCAGTTTTCATTTTCCCTTTTATCATTTTGCATGTGATTGCTTGTGTGATTCACACAGTCACACACATCGGCAGCCCATACTGTCCGCACACTGTCCAGTACCGCCTGTGATGCTCACATCATACACGGCGCGCCCACACCGCAAGAAGGACTCCATCCGGGTCCCGTGACCCCACAGTGTTGCGCTCTTGCGACCCAAAAGATAGGATAAAGGTTGGCAGCATATTACCTTGGGGTTTGACTGTATGTGAAAGGCGTGCATATACTTGCCGTAGCATGGATGGCAAGGGGGGTTCTGTTCTAGTCCAGGCCGGGCAGGTACCGTCTACATGGCTCGCACTAGGTCGAGGGCAATTACATAATTCCGACAGGACTGCCACAAACTGCCCGTCGGGCTGCTCCGGCTTTTACGAGAGAGAAGCTGGGTAGAGTTGCCTGGTCGGGACTAGCGCGTGTTCGTGTCGCGTGCGTGTTGTGTGTGTGTGTGTGTGTTCTTCAAAAGGGCGCAGCTGGCTCTCTTGACCGGCATGCATACATACATTTGCCAAGGCCGCCACACAATCGCGTCTTGCCTTCGGGTCTATTCCGCCTCCGGGGACAAGGAAGGGTGTTCGTGGTGGTGGGAGGGGCAGAAGGAAGAAAATAATACGGAAAGACTAATTTCTTTTGTTTGTTTCTTGGGAACGACTACGTTGCAAATCTCCAACGAACCAGCGGACGCTTTTTACCCCTCATCCAGATTTTGATATTCCCATATTCCGAACCATCCCCCCTCGTCAATTACGACTTGATAAACTGATAGGCCAGGAGCCCATCTCGAGCGTGCGGAGCAGGGTGGAGAAAGAAGGGGTCGTCGGCGGGGCGCGGGCGGCTGACGGATGAAGCGGCAAGCGGCGGCGGGTGTGCGGAGGTGGGGGATCGCGGGTTGCTTTTTTTTTTCCCTGGCAAATGTCGTGCTTCGGAGAGGATGTGTCTGATACTGGCAGGCCCAATTGGACACAGCGTTTTAATAATACTGCCACACGCAGGTCGATCAATGGAGCTGTCCTGCATCTTGATGTTATTCCTCGACAATAATCACGGCGTCACAGTCGGGCATTGCGAAGTCGAGTAAGCACGCACTCTAACGTTTTAATTGATCCAATATCTGACCTCTCTCATCGCCTCGGGCACACACAGTACATGTCTCACCACGCCCCCCTTTTTTTTTTCGAACAATTCTTCCCTTTTGCCCGATAGAGGTGGGAAGGGTGGTGACACGTCGAACACAGGGCATATCGTTGATGTCAAATCGCGGGTTTATTCTAGACGCTTGCGATGCGGCTTCGCTCCGGCACATCACATCCCAGCATACAAAAGAACTCAAAAGACTCAACACAGGGTTCGGCTGGGCTTCGGCAATTTCTGCATCCCACGCCGACCCCCGGACACATGGAGTTGCCTCTTTGGGAAGAGGGGGGTGCGCCACAAAGAGCCTCACTCACACATTTGCCTGACCACCAATGCCACCCCCCTAGAGCGGTTCTTTCGTCATTTCAAGGCGTTGGTGTAGCAGCACGCGCGTATTATCGATTGGCCGCTGACTTTTTTCTTCTTGCTTTTGATTCCTGTTGCCGGGCCGCACTGCATCCCTCCTCGGACTTTTCCCGTCTAGCCTCTAGGCAAAGAGGGTACGGTACGCAGGGCTCGTTTCAGCCCCAAAGGTCCATCGTGGCCGCCCAGTGCTTGGGAAGGATCGAAATCGTGCGTGGCCGACGCATGTCGGCACCCGAAACTTGCCGACCGCATCTGCCATTATAGGCGCGTCAAGTCTCCCTTTCAAGAAAGAGTCATGAGCCTGGCGTAGAGGGGTAGGTAGGTTGGTTGTTGGTTTTCATTCTGACTGGCGGCTAGGCTCGTCAACAAGCGCTCCAGCTGGCCTTGTTGGCCTTGTGGTGAGGTGGCGGTGGTGAGGTAATCAATCGATTGGCTTCTGCATGGGAGTGCCGCAGTTGGTGGTGGGGGTGGCAAGCTGGAGGCGAGGCTAAACGATTACCCGCTGGCCCGCGTCATGTGCCGTGACCGCGCCAGCCACCACCACCGCAGCTCTATTTGAAGGCAGGCTGTGATATTTACAGCAGGGGGCCCTTCTCCGTCCCATCGTAAGAACGATGGGCTCGATGGATTGGGTTGGATTGGACCGCATGGCTCTCTCGCCTGCGGCCGCCGGTCTTCGGCGCTTGGGGTGAGGTAGCATCCCAACTCGCTAGATGAGAGGCTATCAGACCGACAGACGTCGAGGTACCCGTCCGCGCTGCCGCCTACGACGATTTATCATCGGGCTAGTGGTTAATGATGAAAGCCCAGAACGTTGCTGTCCACTTTTGAGGTACCCGGTATGTAGGCCGCGCCAGCGACAGGACCAGGAGAGGGGGAGTTGCAGATGACCTGGCATTGAGCCTGCACCTGGAGATTATCGGTGGGCCTCTCCATGTGTGAGGGCTTGTTGCCGTGGGCTGTGTCCCCGCGCCCGTCTCCATGACTCGCAGAGAGGGATCAACGGCCAAAGAGAGAGAAAAAGGCAATCAATTGATTGGGTTCCAAGTTCCTGGCTGCTGTATTTTGAGATTGACTCTTGATTTTTCTTTCCTTGCTCGAGGTCAGTGGCTATATCTCGGACCAGCCGACATGCCACGGGAGCACGCAAAAAAAGACATCGAGCGGGCTGGTTAAACCGTTTGTTTCCGCTTCTGACGGTGGCTTTTCTGAGACCCGCCTTTTCTGAAGAATTTCGGTGTCCTCGTGCTTTGTCGCCGACGCGCAGTTTCTCCAAACCGGGTGGGGAACGAGAATGGGGTTGGCTGGCAGGCTGGACCCGACCTCCCTGGGCGCGTGCCCACACGGGGTGGGGAGTGGGGAGCCGGGCGGGCGTTGTGTAATTGGTAGGTAATGTGCTAATCCTCGTCTGGCGAGGGACCTTTTTGACTTTTGTGCATCACACAACGTGGAGAGCGAAGCAGCGAGCAGCAGCAGCAGTCATTCCTGCGCCTGGTCCCGTCGGCATTTGATTCGGCCAGGCCATGTGTGCGAGACCGGATGCGGCGCGCTGACTGACCTGGGCTGGGGATCGTCCACCGGCGTCGGCCTGCTGCTTGCTCTGGCCGAAGCTACCCTGAACGTCTTTCTCGGCGGACGGCGGAAATGACGAACGGATCGAAATGACGACGGGCTGCAGCCCGATTTGCGCAAGCGTCCCGTCACAGTTCCTTTCTTTTTTTCCTCTCTTTCTTTTTCTATTCCTCGTTCCAATTCCTCAACCAACCCTGAGTGGAGAAGGACCAGGGCCAAGCTCCTCCTTACCACCCTCCTCCGCATCGATGGTCCCGCCCCCCACAACAGAGAAGAAAATTGGACTGGACAGCGACTTGGCGTTCAAGCGAGAGGTGAGCCCGATCGGGGGGAGTTTCCAGCCAGGGAGGTACCTGGGCCGGCGCCGCGAGCTGGTGGCGGGACCTCGAGGCGGGATCGCTCATCGACGTGGTGGTGGTGGTGCTTGCATGGCTTGTAGTGTGCCCCTCACCCCCCGCCCTTGTATTGGGGATGGCCTGCCTACACCTCCAGCTTATTGCCGGGGGTGGGCACACACAAAGCAGCGGCGCCGCCGTCCAAAGTAACGGGTACAGACGAGCACCTGACTTTTGATGCTCTTGGGTGCCACGGTGCGTGGGTGCGTCTGTTCAGCTTCCCTTCTTTCTCGTTTGCAGAACCAGCATCATCCTGGCCTCTGCTCCACGGAAGCTGGCGGCCAACCGCAGGGCGTGGCAGCGTTCCATCCTCGTCCAGCTCGACTCTCCACTCCAGGATTCCTCCACTCGGAGATGTCCACAGCGGTCAAATAAGTCCTGTTGTCCAGCGTGCTGTATGTGGGTCTATCTCCTTCGTTTGTCCTGTGTGTTTACCGTTTCTCGTGTTGTTTGCTGTTTCATCTTTCGTTTCCTCTATTATAACCCCTTTCTTTCCATCCTGTCCTCATCAGTCCGTCTGTGAAGTTCACGCGGAGTGCTTGGCTTTTATTTGGAGAACGTGATGCCTGCAGGCGCGGGCTTGGCATAGATGGCAGCCAACCGATGGTACACAGTACGTGGTCTGCGCGACCCGACCTTGCCAGGGCAGGCACCATTTTCTGCCATCACACTTACCTACTCGCATCGTCGTTTCTTACACCTCTGCGTCTCCTTTGTGACCAATTCCTGCCTGCCGAGCCCTCAAAGGCCTGGTATACATCCATACATGCTTGATGCTGCGTACTGTGTGTATCCAGCTGCGGACGGGGCCAGTGCTCCTCCTTTTGCCCCCTGGACACCTAGCGCAGCAAGTAGCCTGGGGAAAATCGCCAAGGTACTTTGACCATCCCTGCAACCCAGACCCCCCCCCCCCCCCCCAAGCATACCCCGGTGGGTGGGCACCGGATGAGGAGCGTATTTTTGCCCGCCTGGTGCATCTGAGGCACATGGACGGCGCCCCCAATCAAGATATTAAAACAAATGCGGCGCCCACTTCGGTCTGGGGGTCCCGCCGTAAAAGCGATCCTCGTTCCCGATGCCACCACATCCTGACTCCTGCGTGCATTCTCGCCTCTGTCCTCGCTGCTATCACCCTGTCTCGACAGCTACGCGTGCAAGCTTGCAGCAGGCATCTTCGACATCGAGGCCAACTTGCTGCCCGTGAGGTCCATGCTCTCGACAGGACGGTGTTTGGGATGGCCACGAGTCTAGAGACGTCGCCCCATACACGCACGACTCGCCGGCAAGATACGCCAAGCGGCTCGAGAGCAGACCTTTGCGAACTCTAAAAGCCCTAATACTGCGCAAGCGGCAGGCAACACCTCCAAGGACCGTCTTCGCCCGCGCCGGCTTACGAGTTGCTGTATGCGCGACTCTTCCCGGACTTGCATCCAGCACGACGCACCTTTGCGCATCCAGATCGCCCCGACTCAAGCTACTGACCGGCGGGAATCTGGCTGGCCCTTCAGGACATTCATTTGCCACTGGCCTGTTCCCGTCCCGCCCTCTCTCTTCCGGGCCGGAGTGATAGAGAGAAAAGGCGGTCTTGCATGGGAAATCTCGCTGTTTCCCCACAGACCGCTCCAGCTGGGCAAAGTTGAGTCACAGTCGAGCTCGACACGGGGCCGCCAGCCACACACATACACACACCACGGAAGCAACCAAAGCAGCCCACAGACGGGAACCATGAGCGGAAGCGAGAGCGACGGCGAGGCCTCGGTGTCGTCGAGGCAAGCGTCCGAGAGGGGAGAGTCGATCGCCGCGGAGCACACCGATTCGCCATCACCGATCGCCAGCGCCGCCGAGGACGCGGCGGCCGGCAAGGTGGCCAAGTCGCCGGGGTCCAAGAAGCGCAAGGAGTCGACGTCGACGGTCGCCGGCGACAGCGGGGAGCCGGCAGCCAAGATCACCAAGCGGCGCGCCGCCCGCGCCTGCGTGAGCTGCCGGGCCAGGAAAGTCCGCTGTGACGTGGTCGAGGGAGCTCCCTGCGGCAACTGCAGGTGGGACAACGTCGAGTGTATCGTCCAGGAGAGCAGGAGGCGAAAGTGAGTGACCAGCCACCCTGCCCATCATGGCATACACATGCCTCAACACACGCCCCGGAGCCAATGGCTTCAGTCTCGCAGCCGCTGCGATCTCCGTGCCTTTTTTCTTCTTCTGTCCCCGTTCCATTGCGGCAGCCTCGACGGAGTTCCGTTCGTCCGCCATGACCCCAATCAACTGTAATTAGTCGCAGAACGCACCAATGACGATCCTACGACGGCACGCGCACGAATGCCTTTTCACAGTTCGGGCTGATTCGTCGCAGTTTTACTGTGTAACGCTTTCCCTCGTGTCTGCTGCCCAATGGGTGGCAGTGCGGGTGCGAGCTTGTCTTGGACTTTTTCTTAGTCTTCTTTTTTGGCTTGTGAAAGCTGTCAGATGACCAGCAGAAATGCAGGAACCAATAAACTAACACGCCGCAACCAGAAAGAACATCTTCGCCGCGAGCTCGATTGGTGGGGCCGCCTTGGCGACTTCAGCCGAGGCACTGCGCGCAAAAACGCCCGCCGCAAACCCCATCAACATCACCAGCGCCGACCTGCGACGGCCCAGCGAGGAAGGTGTCGCGATATCGACCTCCATCGGCCGCGGGGATGACGCCCAGAACGGCACCGCGGCCGCTGCCACGTTGTTGGACCACACCCCAGTGGACGGCCATGGCCATGTGCCCCATCTCATATGTAAGCTGACCTGTTACTGCTGGCGCTGCTCCTCATTTTCACATGGCAATCGCACACAATCACTCCGAGATGTGCGACATGCCATGTGTGTGTGTGTGTGTGTGTGTGTGTGGGGTGGAGTTGAGGAGACGGTGACGGCCACTGTGGGTGACCCCCCCTCAAATGGGATCCTTGTTCTGACACGACATGACGCTGCGCTCGCTGCAGACCAGCAACGACCAGGATTCCGCCCCGAGAACTCGGCAGAGCTGCTCTCCAAGCTGGGAGACAGCATCAACAACCCGCGCATGCTCTGGCCCGATCCGCCGCTGAACCCCAACAACCTGTTTGGCGACATCCGCACCGCACAGTTCCTCAGCTCGCTCGAGGAGCCTGACCTGTCCCTGTACTCACAGCTGCCCGCCTTTGTCAAGCCGCTGCCCGGCAGGCTCACCTCGGACGATGTCAAGTACCTGCACGCCAAGGGTGCACTGTCGCTGCCCGAGCTTGGTCTGCAGAATGCCCTGCTGCAGGCATACGTCGAGTTTGTCCACCCGTACATGCCCCTGATCGAGCTGCACGACTTCCTCAACGCCATCCACTCTCGCGATGGTCTCTGTGGGCAGATCAGCTTGTTTTTGTACCATGCCGTTATGTTTGCCGCTACCGCCTTTGTCGACATCAGACATTTGCGGGAGGCTGGTTATCCCACCAGGAAGGCTGCCCGCAAGTTCTACTTTGCCAAGACCAGGGTGA